GCGCAGAGTCTCCTCCTCCTCCTTGAACTTGGGGTTGTCGAGCTTGCGTGGCCGGGCCTCGCCAAACTTGCGGGTCTCCATCTGCTGGGCGCGGTATGCCTCGTAGTGCGATTCTTCCGTTGTGTGAATAAGGTCGAGCATGTGGGTGCGGATCAAGATCGAGCGGAGCTTCTTGAAATCGCAGTGCTCCTCGTTCTCCACCTCGGCAACACCCCAAGCGTACTGACGACCTTTGACGACACGACCATCGTTGGCCTTGACGTCCTTCTCGGAACCGATGACGGCGAAAGGCATGGCAGCCATGAGGCTGCGGGCGTGGGAAGCGGCGTGCTCGTCGTCCTCCTCCACGGGCGGGGTGTAAATCTTGATGCCCTGGGCCTCAATCACAGCGCGAATCTAATCAATGGTTAGTCCGGATTCTCCTCCTCGTGCACTCGTTCCACTCACTCTATCCTTGTAGCGCACCAGATCCGCGTGGCTCAGGGTATCGGCCTTGGCAACGACGGGGATCAGGTTGACGCGGGAGCTCAGACGTTTCATCACCTCGATATCGAGAGGCTTCAAGGTGTGTCCGGTGGGGCGGATGAAGTACAAGCAGGCGTGAACACGCATGTCAATCTTGTCGGTTCGGCGGGGCTGCTGCTCCTGGAGCATGTACGACTCGTGCTGGTCATCCAGGAACTCGATAATGGGTTGCCATGAATCACGGTTGTTCACGTAGTCTCCGAATCCAGGGGTATCAATGACGGTGAGGCGGACTAGAAAAGGACACCTCGTCAGCTATCGAAACGCGGAAGTCGTAGCCGCTCCAACACGAAGATCTGGGTCGCACCTTTGAAGAACTTCTCCTCAAGCTCAGCCTTGGTAATCTCAATCTCCACGGTTCGGTCGACCTGCTTCTGGTGGCGGCGCTTGTGATCGGCATAGTTCTTAATGGTGGTGGAGAAGAGGGTGTTGATGAAGGTTGTCTTTCCCAATCCTGACTCTCCGGCAACCTGATCGAAGCTTAGCATCAACACGGGCGGATCATTTCCCTCCGACGGTGGGACACACCATAATAGTGAAGGCTGCACCCCGCTTCGCGACAATCTTGTGACTATACAAGCTTGATTAGAACCTTTCCTCGTATCCACTGTAATCACTCTCAGGTACACACCGCTGGTTGGGGAGCTATATCAAAGAGGGCAAGTTAGCTTCAGCATATCACAAGGGAGACGCGGGCGTTCTGAATAGCTTACGTTGGCAATGCCAATCGGCGTGGCGGTCTCTGAGGTCGACATGGTGGGTTATAGGGGGATTAAAAACAATTCGGAATCAACACAAAGGAAGATGAAGAAGAAGGCCCTGGTGTAGAGTAAGACCCAAATTGAGAAGAGAAAATAAGTCGACTCCTGAGGAGAAAAAAAGGGAGAAGGAGGAACGAATGTGAAATCGGATCTCTCTCGAACTGCCCGTCGCTGCTTCCCCCTGAATCTCCTTTCGTTTTCTGGAGTATACCTCACCTTGCCTATCTGGGTTTAGCGTGATGGACTAGTACCGATTGGGTCCGGGTCCGGGTCATAGATGATCCGCTGGCCCTTATCACGGTAGCTGGTTGAATTATCTCTAATTTTTTGATCTGTGAGATCGCCGACAGCCAAAATGAAGACAGACTTCAAGGTAGGTACTACGCTTGGATTCTTGATCGCATGCAATTGCCAGCAAGCCTGGATTATTAAATCTCATACTAACATCCTCAATTCTAGTTCTCCAACCTTTTGGGGACGGTATATCGCAAAGGAAATCTTCTCTTTACTCCCGATGGCACATGCTTGCTTTCGCCAGTAGGCAATCGAGTCTCGGTCTTCGATCTGGTACAGTATGTGTCGCCCGACAGCCCTTCATTCGGTGATTTGGAACCAGGCCGCTCACAATTGCTTCTATAGAAATACTTCCTATACCTTGCCTTTTTCGCACCGTACCAACATCGACCGTCTCGATCTTACGCCCAAGGGTAATCTTCTGTTGACCGTGGATGAAAATGGTCGCGCAATTTTGACCAATTTCCACCGGCGCATCGCCATTCACCACTTTTCCTTCAAAGGACGAGTGTCCGCACTGAAGTTCTCCCCGTCCGGTCGACATTTCGCCGTTGGCGTAGGCAGACGCCTGCAGATCTGGCAGACGCCCTCCACCCCCGGTACCGAAACCAATGGCGAGATTGAATTTGCCCCGTTCGTTTTACACCGGGATCTTGCTGCCCACTTTGACAACATCGAAAGTGTCGAATGGTCCAGCGATTCGCGCTTCTTGCTCACTGCTGCCAAGGATTTGACAGCGCGAGTATGGAGCATGGATCCGGAGGAAGGTTTCGAGCCGACCACTTTGGCGGGACACAGACAGGGTGTAGTGGCTGCCTATTTCAATGCGACACAAGAAGTGGTAGGTGCTTACTGGGAATTGGTCTGGAATACACACTGACTTTTATAGATCTACACTGTCAGCCAAGATGGCGCACTCTTCCGCTGGGAGTATGTTTCAAAAAAAGACGAGGAAACGAATGAAGACATTTCCGACGCCCGATGGAGGATCGTCAAAAAAGATTTCTTCATGCAGAACGACGCCAAGGTCAACTGTGCTGCGTTCCATGCGCCGACCAACCTTCTGGTGGTAGGGTTCTCCAATGGTCTATTCGGGCTCTACGACCTTCCAGAGTTCAGCATGATCCATCAATTGAGGTACATCAGTCTGTGACACCCTCCCTTTCACAGTGGCTAATATATCCCCTCTAGTGTCTCCCAGAGCAATATCGATGTTGTGACAATTAACAAATCAGGCGAATGGCTAGCATTCGGATCGTCTAAGCACGGTCAATTGCTGGTGTGGGAATGGCAGTCGGAATCATATATCCTCAAACAACAAGGGCACCTCGATTCTATGAACGCCCTCGCATATTCACCGGACGGTCAGAGGATTGTCACGGCTGCCGATGACGGTAAAATCAAAGTTTGGGATGTCAAGTCAGGCTTCTGCATTGTCACCTTTACAGAACATACCAGTGGAGTGACCGCATGTCAGTTTGCGAAGAAGGGAAGTGTGTTGTTCACAGCGTCTTTGGACGGTTCTATCCGTGCATGGGATCTTATTCGATACCGTAACTTCCGAACCTTCACAGCACCATCCCGACTGTCGTTCTCCTCGTTGGCCGTGGACCCTAGTGGAGAGGTGATCTGTGCCGGTTCACCAGACTCCTTCGACATTCACGTATGGTCCGTGCAGACCGGTCAATTACTTGACCAGCTCTCCGGTCACGAGGGTCCGGTTTCCAGTCTTGCCTTCGCTGCCGATGGTAACCACCTTGTCAGTGGAAGTTGGGACCATACAGTTCGCATTTGGAGCATCTTCGGCCGGTCACAGACCAGTGAACCTCTGCAGCTCATGTCAGACATTCTCAGTGTGGCTTTCCGCCCAGATGGGCAACAAGTCGCCGCATCTACCCTAGACGGTCAGCTTTCATTCTGGTCTGTTGAAGATGCTGTGCAGCAAGGAGGAGTTGACGGTCGCCATGACGTCTCTGGAGGACGCCGAGTGGCCGACCGCCGTACTGCTGCCAATGCCGCAGGCACCAAATCCTTCAACCGAATCACATATAGCGCAGACGGTAGCTGCATTCTGGCCGGTGGCAACAGCAAGTATATCTGCTTGTATGATGTCGGAACAGGGTCCTTGATCAAGAAGTTCACCGTCTCCGTCAACACCTCTATCGATGGCACCCAGGAGTTCCTGAGCAGCCGTGACATGACCGAAGCTGGTCCCCGTGCGCTTATTGACGAAACCGGCGAAGCGTCTGATCACGACGATCGTGTTGATACCACTCTTCCTGGCGCGAAACGCGGTGATGCTGGTGCGCGCACCACACGCCCAGAAGTCCGCGTGACGTCTGTGGATTTCGCACCGACTGGACGAGCATTCTGCGCCGCCTCTACCGAAGGACTCCTTGTTTACAGCTTGGATACTGACTTCATCTTTGATCCGTATGATCTGGACATCACAATCACACCGTCAAGCATCCTTGCCACACTAGATGCTGCCAAGGAAGCCGCCATATCCAACACCGTGGATGAGGACAACACCTTCCTCAAAGCTCTTATCATGGCCTTCCGATTGAATGAACAAAAGCTACTCCGTGTCGTATATGAAGCGATCCCTCCGTCAGATATTCCCCATGTGGTTCGCTCCGTGCCCTCCGTCTATTTACCTCGCCTTCTCCGATTTGTTGCACATGCCGCCGAAGAAACTCCTCATCTTGAGTTCAACCTCATGTGGATTGAGTCTTTGTTCAGCAGCCATGGTCGCTATTTCAAGGATAACACAGGCACATTCGCAACCGAGCTTCGTGCCGTCCAGCGTGCTGTCGATGACATTCGCGAGAATCTAAAACGGTTGACGGAAAAGAACCTTTACGATCTCAACTACCTGCTCTCGAAGCCTGTTCTGGGAAACAAGAAAACTAGCAGTGCTTTGTTGGCCATGGAGACCGAGGATGCTGAGATTCCTGATGATCAGATGGTCGATGCTGACGAGGGAGAAGGTGACTGGGTTGGCTTTGAATGATTTCTATGGGGTTTTCTTCGTGTATGTCTACTTGCATCTGAGCCAGGCGTTTTGTATATTGGTTGCAAAGACCAAAAAAGGAAATAGACAGAGGTCTTTGCGGCCTTGTGTGAATAATATACTCCAAGTTCTGCTCTCTGAGACCTCAAACGGACCCTTTGTCCATCTGTTCGCCTTGAGCAAACGCCTTCCCGTTTTAAAATAAAAAGTCTTACCTTCTAATACTATCCGAATGTGTCCTGTGCCACCCTGTCTTTACCTTTCTTACTCTTCTTACCGCCGAACACCTTCCTTAATCTCTCCGCTTCCAATATTCCGGACAATCCAAGTCTCCGGAGAATCATTTATCTAGTACCTTTCCCCTTTCTGCTGTCAAGAGCAAGATCTCATCGTCAGCCAACCTCGATATGGCCGGCCTACCCTTCTGGCCCCTCATTGGGGTGTTGGTTGTAGTGCTCTATCTCCTTCGACGACCACCACCTTCCAGTTTGAGACATATCCCAACGGTCAAGTACAATGCCTGTCTACCAGATTTCATCAATCGACTCATGTACTACCCCAAAGCTGCCTCGATGATCAGTGAAGGATATGAAAAGGTACGCAGCATACTTGGAGTCACGCGTTCACCTCTATTGACATATGTCTGCAATCTCTAGTACAAGGATAGTCCATTTCGCCTGCTCACTGGCGATGGAGAAGTCATCGTCCTGCCAGTGAAATACCAGGATGAACTGAGACATCTTCCTCCTTCACGACTCAGTTCTCTACATGCCCAATATGAAGTACCATGAGCTTATTCGTACCACGTTACGTTGAGATACTGAAGCTAATATAATTTTTCACAGAACGCGTTGGGCCAGTACACCAACATCATCATCGACACCCTTCTACCTTCTATGACCGTGCGGAAAAAGTTGACGCCCAGTCTTGGTACCAACATCATTTAGCTCTCTTATCTTCAGCCTCGTGCCAGAGACCTAATATATATCGAATAGGCCGCGTCGTTCCCGGGATCATCGACGAGCTGCGAACAGCATTCGAAACTGCTCTCCCAGGATGCGAAGGTGGGACCAACCATGCTGATCAACACTCGGATACTGACAGAGAGGTACTAAAAACAGACACCTGGATTCAAATCAACCCAAACGAGATGTTCACCCGGCTAATCGCCCTCGCGACATCCCGCATGATGGCCGGCGACGCCCTCCGCGAAAACGAAGAATGGCTCAACGTCGCAAGCAACTACGCCGTGAACGTGGGAATCACCATTCTCCTGCTCCGCCCTGTCCCCAAATACCTCCGTCCCATCGTAGCGCACTTCCTCCCCAGCGTCCGTAAGATGAAGAAGCAGTTGCGCTTCGCGAAAGACCTCTTTATTCCGATGATCCACGAGCGCAGACTGGCACAACAGGCTAAAGACCCCAATTACACCAAGCCGGATGACTTCTTGCAGTGGATGATGGATCTGAGCGAGGAAAAGAAGGAGGACCTCAAACCGGATACACTGGCGCATCACATGCTGCTCTTGGTGACACTAGCTGTTACTCACACCAGCACGATGGCCTTGTGCCACTGTCTCTTCGATTTGGTTACCAGACCCGAATACATTGAGCCACTGCGGGAAGAAATCACACGGACTCTGCCTGATGGCTGGTATCGGGCGACTCAGGCTGCGCTTAAGGAGCAGTCCCGTCTGGACAGCTTCTTGCGCGAATCTCAACGCTTCGCTCCGCCTGGTGAATGTGAGTATCGAATCTTTTCTTATGGCTGCGCCGTATACCCAGTCAGGGTTAGTGTGTTAGTATCATGCTCTAATCACCTGCGTTGTCTAGTGAACTTCCACCGCATCGTCAAAGAACCAATCACGCTCCATGATGGCCTCGTTCTTCCAGTAGAGACACACGTCTGTTTCGCTGCCGGTCCGATTAGCAAAGACGCTGCCTTCGTCAAAGACCCAATCACCTTCGACGGCTTTCGCTGGTGTCATAACCCTCGGGATCGCTTTGTCCTGACCCCTGAGCTCGCAAAACTCGACGCTATGCTGAACGGTGCTGGTGAGATGCAGGCTGAAAAGTCCGCATCTTCCGCCTATTTCGTTTCGATCACTAACACCAACATGCATTTCGGCTTCGGGCTCCAGGCATGTCCCGGTCGGTTCTTCGCATCGAATACTTTGAAGGCAATCCTGAGTCGCCTCATCCTTGACTATGAATTCAAATTCGTTGAAGACCTGCAGGGGAAGAGACCCAGTAATCTTGTGGTTGGGGAGCATATTCTTCCGAGTATGACTACGGAGATGCTGTTCCGGAAAAGACCTATTGGGCTTTGAGTAGAAGGGGAGATGTTACTTTTCAGGGCTACCAGAGGTCGATGCCCGATGCCATACTTATTCTATCAAGATGTTGCGGTTCTTGCTTTACATCTAAAGATCTCGGACTAGGAAATAAGAATATTGAGTTTGATTTCAGTTCCATCGTACAGTCATCTGCAATAGATATAAGCACTGCCTCGACATACATGTCGAGACGGGGTGCAGATATCTAAAGCGTCCACATACATAGAGGGTTCGAATCCAATCGTTTCATCATATCTTCTCTCTCGAATATCACGTCGATCATTCACTAGGCAGTGGGCTGGGGGCACCTCCTCGCCCACGACCTCCTCTGCCGCGGAACCCATTACCACGACCGCGGCCACGGCCACGTCCTCGGTCCAATCCTTGCGGCGGCGGAACGCGAGAGTAGTTCTGCGGACGGAAGTTGGGGTTGTTTTGGATAATACCCTCGCTGGGATCGCTGTTGTCCATTGCGACATATCCCCCTCGCGCACCTCCCCGACCGGCACGGGGGCCACGGGGAATACCGCCACCATTGGGACGGAAAGGAAGAGTGGTCTGTTGGCCGTTGTTGAGACCCCCGCGACCTCCACGTCCAGCTCCATTGCCTTGTCCATTGCCTTGTCCGGCGACAGCTCCTCGGAAAGAGCCTCTCAGGGGCGGAGGGGCAGTTGCGTTCCTCAGTTGTCCCAGTCCGTGAGGACCGATGGGGGCGCCGTATCCGGCAACTGTCAAAGGAGTCTGGGTTTGCTGGGTTTGCTGGCTAGCTGTGGCACGGGAACTAGTGATAAGTTGTCGGTTGGAGATGTTGAGGAGGGAAGATGCCAAAACAGTTTGACCACGGAATGGTGAGCATCGACCACCTAGCGTAGTGCCGCTCATGAACGACACATCAAAGACAATATCAAGCAGAAGTGCTCGTGGGGTTCTGGTTAAACCGACAACAGTGCCACGAGTAGCGATTGGCACCTTACCAGAATCTTGGGCATACACAACCCGATCACCAAGCTGGAAGGTTTGGTTTCCGAGGCGGTGCTCGACATCGGCAGGCCGAAGGAGTGCACTACGGGGCACACCCCGAACCTTCTTCGGTTGCATATCTGGCTGGGACGCATTGAGATTATCGGCATCCTGCTCAATCAACATCACAATATCCGAGTCAAGTTGCTCAGCATCGAGGGGCACTCTCTCGAAGTTCTTAGCTTCAATAGATTTGAGCCAATCCTTAATCTCTTTCATCTTAAGGGCGGCGATTTCCTCTGGATAGAAATCAGTTGGAGAATAACGGTCGCTTTGAGGGTTGCGCTGGATTCCAGCGATGAATTCGGGGAATTTAATCATGTACTGTTGAAGCAGTTCCACTGCCTTTTGGCTAAATTCCCAGCCAGATTGTCCTCGACGGGAGTATCCAAGAACCTTCTGTTGCTTTGCCTGGAACTTCAGGTTAAGACCGAGGTTCGCACGTTGGCCTTCGATATCAACAGTAAAGGAAGATGTGATCTTGGCTAGGACCAAAGGATTGAGGCGAAGACTGCGCGCAACAGCGTACGAAGGCATGTAGGGGCAAAGTTGCTCAGATGCCCTCACACGCTCTCGACCGAATTCTGGCTCCCGACCCTTCACAGCCGCGACCAATCCATTCACCTTTCCGTCTTCGTGTCCCCCAACATAAACAGGTCTTCCGTAGTTGAAATCACCCAAGAAGAAGGCACGAGAACCCTCTGGGAATTCTTCTTGGATAGAGAGAGCTTCACGCTCAATAAAACGTTGATCAGGATTGATCACATCATCAACAACAACCTGTAGAGCATAATCCGTCTCTTGGCCGGGAATATCAGCGAATTCCTTGATTGTGGCTCCATCGTCTGTCTTGCTCATGCCCTTCAGAAGTTGAATGTGGACCAGAGATTCGACATCGCCAATGATAATTGCTAGACGCTTGCTGTAGGTGCCCTCAATCTTGTTGGCCTTCCTCTTCCACTGCTCAATTTGCTGAGGGGTATGAGGAATAGATAAAGGGTGTTGTTCGCCAGGAGGTAGAACATAATCAAATAATTCATCCGAAACGCGGACCACAAGAGCTTCTTGCAAGAATGGATAACCCACGTGAACACGCTTCCCAAGCTTCGTCTTAGCCAGTTCAATGCTCGACCGGCTTCCCGGATCAAGGAGTGTAATAACCTGGCTCTCGTTGCGGCTATCTTGATTGAACACGCAAACGCCATGGAAACCTAATTGACCATGGTGCGGGAGTGTCTTGATGCTAGGGAAGCCAGCAAGCGCTGCCTTGCCTAAGTGGACGCCGTCCATTAAGCCAGCGTAGGGCACCAATCCATCCATGACGGGGAGGTCAAAGAGGTTCTCAATGCAACGGCAGCTAGGAAGATCCGGGAATACGCCAGGCATTGAGGAGGGGTAAATGAAGTTCACTTCTGGGGAATAGGTGAATTTGAGACAGACCCCAAAGTCGTTCCTTGCTTTTTCATCCGCGGAAAGTAGGTTTTCTTTCGTTTTGAGGGCGTCCAAAAGCCGTTTTTCGTCGATGAATGGAATCTTGACAACGGCTTCCCATTCCATCTTTTTTCCGTTCATATCCAGATCGAAATCACGGGGGTAGAAATCGTAGATGGGGGAATCAGCCGAGGTCATCAGGTCCCAATACGCAGTAGGCACGATCTTCTTGCTGCGATCGGGCAAGACACCCATAAGCTGGTCGAACGGCCGGAAAGGCTGTCCCAATTTGAAGTTCATGTCTGCACCAAGACCATCATTCACATCTGTTCAACCGTTAGCAACCTAAATAATCCAAGAAAAAGAAAGGGGGATTTGGTACTACTAACCAGAAATCATAGGGGCATAGTGGTACTGGAAGAACCAAGGCCACGAAGCAATGCCACGGTAATAGTAGAACAAGACCCACTGCAATCCTTGCACGTAGTTTTGCGCCAACTTCTTCATCTCTTCTTTGTTATCGAGGCCCCAGCCGAACTTGGTCCGATAATAATTATCCTTCCACTCTAAAAACTTGGCATCATATTTCTCCTGCGCGGACTTCTGCGCTTCCTCGGGAGTCATCTCTTGAACTTTGGCCTTCTCGTACTTCCGAATAATACGCTGAACAGCCACCGATGCCTCCTCGTCCTCTTCGTCATCACTGTCACACTGGGTTGGAGGCAATGTGAGTCTCATGAATCGATCACCGTTCTCGTTGTCGATGGAGGACCAAGGCAACCGGAGCTCATCCGCAAGCTGTTCGACGAAAGTGCGGTCACGAGCTGGAAGTGTAGGAGGGAGGTCAAGGGGTTCACAAGTCTTATCAGACCGGTTCAGAACGTACTTCTTGACCGTCTTAAGTATCTCCTTCTGAGCAGGAGTGAGCGTAAGCTCTTTCTTCTGTTGCGAGGTCGAATAATCAATGCTTGGGTCTTTCTTCGATTTGATCCATTGGGCATCGGAGTTCTCAGCCTCAAAAAACCGGTATTCCACGGCACTAAGCGCAGTCACAAGCATGCCCAACCGTTTCACGTTGATAACACCCTGCTCGTTGATGTAGCCGCCCATTTTTGGCAGCACCTCCTTGTAGAGCTTGAACATAAGGGCAAGGGCACCCTCGTTGATATGTAAGTTTGGCAGGTTGGGCAAGAAATCGTTGCCAACGAAAAAGGCCATAAGAATGAAATCATCAATGACACGCTCCATATCGAATGGGAAATCCAGAACACCATCTTGTTCTAGCTCTTGGAATTCTAGTTCCAAATACTCCCGCACCACGCTCAGATGCAGGAGGTAAAAGTTTTGGTGTTCCAATTCTTTGGGCTTCTTGGATACTTGACGACCAAAGGTCACTTCCTCTCGAAGAAGACAGAAGTGAGGGTCATGGCTGAGAAGACCCAGCATGATCAGATCGGCATCCAGACCGTAAAGACAATGGCGAACGTTGGATTCATAGTCGGGCTGCGCTTTCGAGCAGCGAATGTATTCCATAATCTTGTGCTCGCCTTCTCCGGGAACCTCATGGCCAGAAAGCACAATTTCCACACCTTGCCAATCTGTGTCCTCCGAGATTTTCTTGTTGATGAAGTATTTGAGTTGTTTCGTCAATTTCTGCATGAACTCCGTACCCGGGGTGATGCAGTTGCTGTCAAAGGCATCTTCCTTTGGCATCTCCAGGCCCTGCTGGATAGCCTTCTCCTTCGCGTTCTCTGCATCCAGGGCCGTCCGGAATCGACGCGCACGTTGTTGATTCATCTTAGCGCGAGGCGCAACACCGTCTACCGCCATGTAGAACAGTTTCTTGGGCTTGATTTTGCCAAATAGATGTTCAATGTAATTGAAGATGGCAATGAACATTTGATCCTCCGTCATGCGAAACGTCGGGGAGTCGCTGTCACTATGTGTACAGTTGTGAATAATACCGTTCATGTCGAGGTATAGGCTATCGAATTCGGGTATCCGGCTCTCTGCGATCAGCATCGAGATTGACGGATACCGCTCACTCAGCCAACGGAAGAATTTCGGGACACCCATGGTGAAGATTGGGTCCGATTGAAGCGAAGGTCGCCAATAAAGAAATCGACAGGTGATGTATCGTAATAGTTTAAAGATCGTATGAGGGGTACTTGTAAAGGACTGAAGTAGAGTTACTTGCGACGAAAGGTGAAATCATCCAATGAACAGATCTTGGATGAGGTACTGCGTCAACGAAGTGGTGTCCAAAGAAGAATATAAAAGGACAAACGTAAACAAGCAAGAGAAAAAATATATAACGCCGGACTGACGCTTTTCGGTTGTCTATGATGCGATGCGAGACGTAGTCCCCGCGGCGATGCGATGTGAACATTGAAGAGTCAACCCCAAGCTCATTCACCGCCTACCAATCAGGTTTAGTGCCATTACGGGTCTCTCAGCACTCATTAACGCGCGAATGCGCGTAGCTTTCCTCCGCCTACCTATCTGCTTCACACACTCTTTCTAAGTGGCTGGAGTTCTGTTATCTCGTGATCTTACTATATTGCTTGATCCTATACCACCCCAAAGCCATGGATCCCTATGAAGACGATGCTGGTGAGCATCCATGACCTTGCGCACTACTTAAAAATCTCATTCTAATGAAGACCTAGGTGCTGGTGACGAGCACGAGAAAGACCAGGATCAGGACCAGGACCATGAACACAATGATGAGAAGGCGATCAATGAAGGTAGCTTTGCTCAATCTCTCCAGTTCTGCCAACCACGGTATCTAATTATATTCATTGGTCACAGAGTACAAAACATGGAAGAAGAATGCGCCCTTCCTCTATGATATGATCCTGAGCACAGCATTAGAATGGCCAACTCTTACAACCCAGTGGCTTCCAGATAAGCAAGAGTATGCCCCGAAACCCTACTAGTCCCACTGGTCCAATCATCAACCTAACCACGGCTATCTTCAGAGTCCCGGACAAGCCCTACTCAACCCACCGTCTCATCATTGGCACACATACCACTGGTGAAGCGCAGAATTACCTTCAGATCGCTCAAGTGCAACTCCCAAATCCTAATGCGCCAAACCCCGAAGACTATGATGAAGAAAAGGGAGAGATTGGAGGTTATGGTGGGGGCTCAAAGAAGGCACAGATGGAGATCAAGTTCAATATTGTGCAAAAGATCGACCACAAGGGCGAGGTCAACAAGGCCCGGTATCAGCCACAGAACCCAAACATCATTGCGACAATGTGCACGGATGGTCGGGTGATGATCTGGGATCGTTCTAAGCACCCTAGCTTGCCAACTGGCACAGTGAACCCTCAAATGGAGCTCCTAGGCCATGAAGCTGAAGGCTTCGGGCTTAGCTGGAACCCTCATGTAGCCGGTCACCTCGCGACAGGCAGTGAGGATAAGACTGTTCGACTTTGGTAGGGCACAGCATGAAAACCCAAGAATTTGGTGTGACTCGCAGCTAATGAAGGTCACCACAGGGATATTACTACGTACACCAAGGGCAACAAGGCAGTTCGGCCCAGCCGGACTTTCACACACCACTCCTCGATCGTCAACGACGTTCAATACCATCCTCTCCACTCCTCTCTCATCGGAACCGTCTCCGATGACATCACGCTTCAAATCCTTGATACCCGCCAAGAAGATTCCACTCGCGCGGCTGCTTCAGCGGAAGGCCAGCACCGCGATGCCATCAACTCAATTTCCTTCAACCCAGCTTCCGAGACGATTCTGGCCACGGGTTCCGCCGACAAGACTATCGGTATTTGGGATCTCCGTAACCTGAAATCAAAGCTCCACTCGCTTGAAGGCCACACCGATTCGGTGCAATCTATCTCGTGGCATCCATTTGAGGAGTCGGTCCTGGCAAGTTCCAGTTATGACCGCAAGATTATGTTCTGGGACCTCAGCCGGGCAGGTGAGGAGCAAACCCCTGAGGATGCTCAAGATGGGCCGCCAGAGCTGTAAGTGAACACGATTTGTTTTCTTCATGCAATGGTTTGTATTGTTCGCTGACCTTGCTCCTTAGTTTGTTTATGCACGGTGGACACACGAACCGAATCTCAGACTTCAGCTGGAACCTAAGTGACCCTTGGGTTCTCTGTTCCGCTGCCGAGGACAATCTACTACAGGTATGGAAGGTAGCAGATGCAATTGTGGGCAAAGACCTGGAGGATGTCCCAACAGAAGAAATTGAGGCGTAGATGTCATTTCTACCGGACTTGCAGTTGTCTCATCATTTTCCATATGGCTGCTTCTTTGGTATAGTTGAATCAAGACCATAGTGAGTAATCTTAAAAAACACTATTGCCTTTGAAATCTATATATATCCTTGTGCCTATAAGGGCATATTGTTACCCATGGTCACCACCAACCATGATAGTCTAAGTTACATGGCATTTATTATTCTTGTGGACTCGAGGACCGCTTAGTGATATCAGCATTCATTTCCAACATTAGTCATTAATTGCTATATTGAATAGTTATCTACATATAGAATAACGAAGGACCTTTAGAACAGCCGAAAATCGATCCCTAAAACATCCAAGCAGTCTTCCGTCGAACACATTGATTAACACACGTCTGATCAAGCTCCTTATCCTTCGAACGAGTCATATATATACGTTGGTGTACCCCTGAGCTAACCTAGGCTTCGTCAGTCCATAGGACTCGCTTCTAATCGTTAACCTTCTAGTAAGCATGCTCGAGCGCAAAGGCTATTCGTTTAGTACGGTTTCTTTCCGATAGCACGGGTTTTTGTGTAGTAATGTACCGGCGGATACCATGGTATTCCAGGAAGCGGCGTAGTGTTCGTGGAGAACAAGGCAGGTTCATTACAATGGTTACCTCTGCTATTGTCATCCTGCGGGCTGTGGTATCTTGTCGGATAAAGGCCGTGATTTTGTTCCATAACTACTGGCTTAGCTAGCCTAGTCGTACCAGTACGGCGGGGCCTTCCATTCAGATAAATAATACGCCAGACGGTATGCTTTTCGACATTAACCTGCCTCATAAGCTGCTGGTATGTTGAACCCATATTCCGAAGTACAGCTATGCTAGCTAGCACCATGCATGCCAACGGAAATCGAAGTAGGATGATACAGAGTATGTTTCTCACAGCCTCATTTTGGTAGAGAAGTGCATTCTCGCACGTTCCACTACATAAAGCTAACCCGAGAGTATGATCATAGAGCAAATAATATTCTCTATTACAACATAGCCAGGGATTCATATAGTAGTACAATATATCTACTTCCTCTATCGGTTCTTGGTTTTCCCTTTCCGTTTTAGTGCTCAGACCTTGCCGCTTTTTGATCTCTGAGTAAAATTGTGCACCCTTAAACACTAGTTAGTTAACTAACTAGATCATTACATAAGCTGGTTAGGCATCACCTGGATCATCTGACTTGTGGATCCCGAGCCCACATCCATCCATGGATGAGCAATCTGACCCACTCTTTGCTTACAGAGTACGATCACAGTGGAGGATCAAACGCATTTCAGCTCTAAACATCAACTATGTTTCGTCTAGGAGGCTTGAGAGGCCAGTTTCTTGCACGCTCTTTCTTCAAGCGTCCTTTCTTCCAGCGACCCCCTTCGCCCGTGCGGCAATTGACTCAATCGAATTTCCAACTGACTCATATTTTGTCAATATTGGTGAGATCTTTCAATCTAGATACCAAGTCATTGGAAAACTAGGGTTTGGGGCATCCTCGACGGTATGGCTTTGCAAAGATCTCATGTATGTTTGTTCTTTCCGATGCTATGGCACAATCGGTGCAAACACTAATCCCAATATTAGACAGCACAAATATGTCACATTGAAAGTGTTCAGACGAGGCTCGCCTGAAGCCAAAATAGAAATGGCAATCTATGATCGCATGAATGCGGTCAAAACCTCCCATGCTGGCGCCATGCTTGTTCGCACAGCGCTTGATTCCTTTCAAATCGACGATGCGAAAGGAAGTTATCAGGCTATTGTGCACCAGCCTCTCGGCATAAGGCTATCTGACATCAGACATCGATTCCCAGATAAAATACTACCCGAAGAATCAGTGAAATTGGTTTTAGTACATCTTCTATTTGCTCTTGACTACCTCCATACAAAGGCTGGCATCATCTATACCGGTATATAGCACCTACGTATCTCTTGCAACTGACTTCTCCTTCCTAACACGCTCTTAGACATACAGGAAAACAATATCCTGGTCGGGATTGAGGACGAATCAGTGTTGACTGAGTTTGAGGAAGGAGAGAAATATAATCCTAGTCCTCAGAAAGTCGTTGGAAATAGGGTGATTTATGCATCTCGCGAACTCAAGACGACAGATAACTATGGCCGACCTATTTTATGTGACTTTGGTCAAGCTCGTTTCGGTTCTACCCGTTACTATGGTGACATTCAACCTTATATATACCGAGCTCCAGAAGTTTTGCTACGTACGACTTGGGATGAAAAGGTTGATATTTGGAATCTCGCGGTTCTCGTAAGTTGGCCCCTCAAATCCATTTCTCGGCAATGCAACTAACTCATCCAGACATGGACCATTTTCCAACGGAAGCAACTATTTTATGCCAGAGATTCAAACAAGAAACAGGCAAACGCTTATCGTCTCTCTGAGATGATTGCGATTCTTGGACCGCCACCCAAAGAAATCTTACAGAACAACGACTATGCTGCAGAATTCTTTGATTCAGATGGTACGCTATCTCTAACATATACACGTCCTGGCACTAATCAAACAATTCAAGGCAATTGGAAGGGAGCGGCTCCCATTCCATCAACCACCTTGGAGCAGCGGGAGGAAATTTTGCAAGGTAAACAGCAACAACTCTTTCTTGCCTTCATGCGCAAAATGCTTCAGTGGCGGCCAGAGGAAAGAAGTTCTGCTAGTGAATTATTGGCGGACAAGTGGCTAGGCTTTTCGCCATTGTGTAACTAGTGCAATAGATACAAGATTGTTATTCTCGATCAACATAGTTAGTGACCGTCGACTCATACCAAGGAGAAGAGAACGACATCATCATCCTCTCGCTTGTTCGATGAATATGACCCTGAAATATCTTGTTCGTGGTGTATTGGTTGGCGTCATGTATCTTGAATTTGAAACATAAATACATAGATAGTCGAAGGAATATAATAAGGGTGTTGATATAGGAAGGCGGTATTGAAAATCCAGGGGGTGTGAGTAGACTTCTGCACGGACCCAGTAGGGCCCAAGCCCAGTTTATGCATAAATTACGGTCTTGGCGGTCATAAACCCATAGAATCAGCAGAATTATACACATAATTAGCGTGTTTGCATGGTTTGTAACCCAATTTGGGGTGGTGTTGGGTCCGGGTTCTAGCCCGGGTGCGAGCAACAATTTCCTAAAAATATAGTTCTCTCTACAAAAGGGGAGAGAGAGAAGTATAGCGAAAAACCAGCTTGGTTGTTAATTGAAAGCCGGGAAAAAACTAGCTAAAGGGCAGGGTTTGCAGGCCCAGATTCTTGAGGCATCTCTTAACAACCGACATGCCTTTGCTTAACGGCTATTGTGTTGTGCGTGCCATCTTCATGGAGGTGGGATTTATACAATACATTTCCAGCTTTATCCATGAAAGCGATTGAAATCACATCCTCTGTATCTGCCGGGTCGGTTTGTGACTTATGCGGCTTACTTCCACTATGTTCGACTATTAGCTTGACAGCGAAATGGAATGGAAGGTTTCTAAAACGAAAAAGTTGATATTGTTTGACTTTGTCATCCTGGTTCCATATATGTCAACGCCAGCAATTATGTAGTAGAAAGGGGCTTTTCACTCACGTCCTTTTCTTTGGTTTCAACTAATTTCTGCAAAGGTCCTGCCCAGGTTCCAGGAATATCATCAAGTGCGACTCTTCCTACCAGCATGGCAAGCCGTGCAGCTGTTGCAGTGAACATTGTTGCAAAATTTATGCAAAGATAGATAAATAAGGTAAAAGATAATTGCCCAAGATGAATGAAAATAACAGATCTGATGATGTTCTTGAACTGAACGTGGGAAATGGAGTGGTTTTATACACAGATTGATTCTTATAATCAAACTGTATGTCTCCGGCATCTGCACCGGGATCCTGGCCCTTGCAAGGGGTAGTATATTTGATATTAATACGGAAGTTATCATTTTCAACTTCCTAAATAGGAAACATTCACTACGAGCAGGTTCGATGTGGTTGCGAAGGTCCGCCTAGTACAAGAAGCGAAAAGTGTAATAATTCAGCCCCTTGTCGTAGTCCGTGCGGCCGATACGAGCGCTGGTCGATACCCTGTCTGTGGCTTTTACGAGACCAATCGATAAAGCACAATCGCCCAAAGGGAATCAGATGATTGGGCACGAATGCTGTAACCGGAACGGAAAGTATCGTCAGAAGTTGGATTCCCTAGGATCTATCATTATAATACCAAATGTGCATGCTGCATTGCACGTGGCGTGCCTGATTCCAGTCCCCCACCTGATTCCAATCTCCCGTCTGATTCCAGTCTCCCATCTGATTCTAATCACCCATCTGAATCCAATCACCCCTCCAACCTTCCACCTGAGTCTTTTGTCTTTTTCTCTCTGAGATGAGTACCCCAGACATCCCGATCAGGTTATATCTATACGGCAAGCCATTTGACTGGTCGGAAGATGGGCTATCTCTGAACCAGCTGATTGTGACCGAAAATTATTTGCGATTTGCACTTAAGTTTTTTGAGCAAAAGCGTTGGGACAGAAACAATGCTGAGAATCACAAAATCAACCTAAGATCTGGAGGCAGAGAAAAAAGCAATGCCGACGAGAAGGAGAAAAAAGGAAGAAGGAAGAAGAAGCCTATTGGAAAAACACTCGAAGATACCACTACTGGAATTAGGGAAAGTGGTCTGGACTTGTCTAGTTGGCTTCAGTCGGATTCTGGAAAACATCGCAGATTAAAAGCAAAGAGCGCTTTGCAAAAATCCTTCGAAGAAAACGTCCGAAACGGTACTTCCAACCTGAAACCGTTAACTCCAGCGAAAGGGGGAGAAGGGACTCGCAGCAGAAACGAAACCATGCTCTGATTGGTCTGGAGACAGGTCTCCTTAGCACATGCACTTCTTGTGTTTTACACCTTCTCTACAAATGACCTTGACGAATATACATTCGAGGAAATTATATACATTGTTGAGTACGTGTCACACAATCAGAAGTCGCTCTGCTGTGGAGCTCTTGAAGCAGAAGCCATTAGACTGATATCGTCCGGTGAGAACCAACCCCTTCTCGTCATCTCTATAAGACTCTGTTGCCACACCATGGCTGATGAGCTGACCAATCCCGATAGAAGCTCACCCGGATGATTTAATTGTTCAGCACGTGGTACAAAATCGAAGCAAGCTATTTTGCGAGCCGCTTGAAAATCAATTTCGCGACCTTTCGTCTGGTAAGGCCAACAATTGTTGCATCCAGTAAATATACTAAGTATGGCAGAGCTTGATCGATGCCAAAAAAAGCGAAAAAGTGCCGACTCCAACGTAGGTTAGATGTGCAAAAAAAGCACCCCATGCCCACATTAGTGCTCGCTAATACTGCCATTGAGAAGCTTTGCAGCGAATTCGATGGTAAGCACAATAGACTCGTAGGTGACTTAATTTCCTTGGCGCTGAACCGTGTCAAACTCCAGCAGCAGTGCCATATAAACAGCATATCACCAGCTCTCTTGAACAGGGACGAAATTTCCCCCCAAGTAATACGGAAACTGAAATGCATGAGAGCACTATGGAAGAGGACGAGAATGGCTTGGAAGAAAACAATAATTTGCGTCTGACCTACTTTCAACAGTCGAGGAATATCCATCAGGCGTTCGAACCTCAGGAGGGCATGGTGGTTGTTACAGAATATGATACGACACCCGCCACGCTGCAGCCCAACACCCTCCCAATGGACGAAGACAACCACCAGCTCCACGAGTTGCATGACCAACCGCAGCCAAACCCTTCATCGTTCTATATATCGGAATCAATTAGATCCCCACTTTTCACTTTCCCATGTGGTAAGTGCACCATCATCACTTTACATGAAGCATATTTGACAAGGTCAGATCCAGCAGCCGCCTTCTATACAGGTATCTCGATAGAGGACACGTTTAACCGAAATCCCACGTTGATTTACGAGAGGCCACATGAACCAGCAATATTTGGCGTAGTATAAGACGGAGATACACCAGCACTTACGGCTATCCCGAAAAGTGGGAACGCATCGATTCATGATGTAGACCTCTATGGTCTCAGGCTGCTCTACGTAAGACCTTTTCATTCCTTACATTTCAATCATCAATCTTTTGCTAATAAATTTGTCAGTATGCGTTATATATACTACGGCTGGAAAGCCCACAGTGCTAGCAGAGCTATTGATATGCACCGCCATGACAGGTGGTTCCGCGCTAGAATTTGGCAGCTTGTATGAGGAGATTGGGGTCTTTTTACATAATTTGACCCTTGGCGAATTTGGGACACAGTATTGAAATCCCCGGGGGTTTACAGAACCTCACCAAGTTCTACTACAGGACTATCTTCGCTTATTAAGACGAGATGATCTCGATACCCTCATTAATTGCACCATATGGGCAGTTTGGCTGGTGTAGTATGCAGATCCTATTAAATTATGGTGCCGATCCCTATCGAGCCACTGGGATGATCGTCATGTGAATATCAAGGTCACGGAATCAACTAACTTGAATAGGTTAGTGGCATTTATAGAAATCCAGACCAATCAGAAAGCTGTTTTGAGTAGTCTCGCGGCCTGGCCTGTTCATCTCGTTATCCTCACCTCACTTTGCCATCAAGTGGCACCAAAAACTATCATCATGATTACAGAGACAGCCCTGCTACCTGATACTTCCGCTTTGCAGCGCAATCAGGACCTTATGAGGGAATTTGAGAAGGCACTCGAGATAAATCCAGCAGTCAATTTGACCACTCTCATCCCTGATTCCTATTTTCAAAAATATATAGAAAACATATAGACACACAACCACAAAGTCTAGAAACAAAAACAGCCAAGCTCAATCAAAAAACCGTCAAGGAGCTCCAGGACGCCCTTAGCAATGATCCAGAGGTGGACTTGCTTTCGATTTTCCCCCTAAACTATGCTCGTCGTCGGCGATTCGTAAGCCAAACCAGCGAGAAAATAGTAAAGCCTGATATAATGGAATAACCGAAAGCTCCAGATTTTCGGACATACCTTGATAGTGTGGAGACAGCTGAGATCATTTTCCCACTTTCGAAAGATGTGACTACTATGCTGGTGCCCTTCTCGGATTTTTCTGATGGAAATATGAGTAAAGAGCAGCCGCTGCTCTTAGTACTGCGACGAATGCTTTGGAATTCCAAAAAGTTATGGGAAAATCCGATACGGGGCATTGTCGTTCAATATAATCGTAATATCATTGCAAAAGTTATCACGACAAACGGCGACTATATAGAGTATACGGCTTTGCGATACCTTGAAGAATATGTTCCGGAAATTCCTGCTCCTAGACCCCATAGATTTATCAAATTTAGACCTTTTTATATGATTTTCATGTCTTATATTCCGTCTATGACGTTAAGTGAGGCATGGCCGTATCTCGCACAAAGAGAAGATTTCTTAAAGTATCAGCTAGATGTCATCTTTAGGAAGTTGAGAACTGTTCGTAAGGGAGATAGTCACTGTCTAGGGGGGTTCGGTAGCGAAGGAGTAAAGGGACACGAAATCAATAGAATCGTCAGCACGGCTGCTGGGTTTGAGGACTCCGCCCCCCATCACAGCAGCACTATATACGCCACTTTCCTTCGTTCTTTTCTCACAGATTCTGCTAAAGGGTTGGTCTTGACTAATGGTGATATCAGACAAGATAATATCATGGTAAAGCTGAATGAAGACAATATCTGGGTTGTTACTGGGATCATTGACTGGGAAGACAGCGGATTCTATCCGGAGTACCATGAATGTACTCAACTGACGAGGACATTGAGTATAACGGAGGAAGATGACTGGTATCTCTACTTGCCGGCGAGTGTCTCGCCGCTGCAATTTCCGATACGTTGGCTTGTTGATCGACTTTGGGATATCCATATCAAAACCACCTAGTTAAGTCTCCGTATTGCACTTTGTTTATATGTGTGATCTCCCTCCTCTACATTATGGATAGACATTTGGAGTGGCATGTAGTATGAGATATATCTGCAGTCGGACCCATTGTTATAGGAATACATAAAAGATTAAACTAAGATTGATTTCCTCTCCGCGATCGCCTCACGTCACATCACGTGATATCGTGTTCGTACACTTAAGAAGGACAGTTACAGTTCGCTATATCGAACTTTGAGCACAATAATACGACTAAGCCCTTGTCTAATAGTGTTCGGTCCTGATAGTAGTGTTGTAGACATATAATGACTAGTATAATGACTATCCGCGTAGGGCTGGATCTGTCCTACTGTCTAGATAGTCAGCTGGCTAATGGCATATCGTCTAGCACTCAAGATCCGCGCGATTTGACTTCTTTTCAAGATTTTGACTCTTTGTATGCATAATGTATGTACAACATACTACTCGGCCCCGTAGTCCGATATCTGCCCGCGGGGAGCATGTCATCATCCTGGTCGATTTTGATTGGTGCTGATTGGTGGGGGGCGATGAGGGGACAAAAGAAAGTTAGTGTCGTTTGCTGAAAAAAAAAAAGTAAGTCTGATTTCAGATGCTCACCTCGTTTATTATTAATATCATCTTGCAAATCTGAGAAGGTGACATATTTCACCTTCTATCAACATCCAACTTCATCCTTGAAACGTCTCCATCATGGGTTCCGATTCTCCTACAAGCCCCAGGGCCTCAGCCATTCCGTCCCACATGTTGAACGGCAGCTCCCCGCTGCATCCAACGGGCAGCCGTCATTCTCGTGAGCGCGAGAGTCTCAATACATCCATTCGTTCCTCTTTTGAGCCCCGAATCCCCCTTGAATTTGAATCTCCTCAGACCAAGACCGATACCAAGACCGAGACCGAGGCCGAGGCCGGAACTGAGACTGGAGCCGCCCCCGCCCAGTCCGTCTCCAGTGCCTCCGTGCCAATTCGCAGCGTCGCGCCAGTGCGGTATGTATACAGCGATATAACCATTGATGATAATGGTGCTTTCGTTCCATTGCTAATCTCTGCCTAGTCCTACCTTGAATGACCCTCCCCGCGATCCCCGGGATGAGGCCGCCCCATTGACACCTGTAGCCACTGTCAGCCGGCCACAGAGCCCCTACACATTGACCCCGCCTATCGACTTTGACGGTCTCAGCTGGCCTTGTTAGTGATACCACCCCTCTCGGTGGACACCACTGTATTGGTATATTTCTCTAACCACTGTCACCTAGGCCCCGGAACAAGACAGCGGAAGGAGTCGACACCGGAGGAGACCGCGGAACGGCTTGAAAAGATGTCAGGAGCTGTCCGAACAATCCTGGAATGTATTGGCGAGGATCCGGAAAGAGAAGGACTTCGTGAGACCCCCATGCGATATGCCAAGGCCATGCTTTATTTCACCAAGGGCTACGAGGAGAATGTTCGCGATTTGGTCAACAACGCTGTTTTCCATGAGGATCACGATGAGTTGGTCATTGTCAAGGACATCGACGTCTTCTCGATGTGCGAACATCACATGGTACCATTCACCGGAAAGGTAAATTGCCGCATATATCGATACTGTGATTATATTCATTCTAACAACTTACAGATGCATATCGGATACATTCCTGACCGCCGTGTCCTTGGCCTGTCAAAGCTGGCTCGTCTGGCAGAGATGTTCTCTCGCAGACTGCAGGTTCAGGAGCGTCTCACCAAGCAAGTTGCGTTGGCGATTTCGGAGGTCCTCCAGCCCCGCGGCGTTGGTGTCGTTATGGAATCTTCCCACCTCTGCATGGTCATGCGCGGTGTGCAGAAGGTTAGCAGCACCACTACTACTAGCTGTATGCTGGGATGTATGCGGTCCAGCGCCAAGACTCGCGAAGAGTTCTTGACTCTGTTGAACCGGAGGTAATGCCCCATCTCGCCAACCAACCTAAATACAGGTTGTTGATTTTTGAATTTCTGGAGTTGGTGGTTACCTTTCAACAGGTTTTGGGTGGTTTGCTTTTTTACTTTACATCTTAAGCGTGGATTGGTGTTTCTCTTGTCTTCCCTTCTCTCGGTTCTTCTGCACATACTCAGGCAAATATTTGCCCTGGTATCTTGTCATGTTCCTCGTCCATGAAGCTCACAGCCTTCTTCTACGGGAAATGGCAAACACCCACTTTCTCGACCCATGATGGTCCGAGGAAGAAAATCAACCCCCCCTCATTCCCTATCCCATATGCCCTTTCCCCTACCATACTAAAACAATACCTCAAGAGGCCTTTGCTGTACAGTCTATTGAGATCTCACTCGATAGTACTAGCAAGGCTGTTTCAACACTTGATCTCATGCCGCTTACGAGCATCCCAGTAGGAATTCTGGGAGCTATCCACTTAGATACAATGTATGTATTAGAACCAATGTACGTATTAGAACCAATGTACAATCTCTTTCTAATTAATCTCTCTCTCGTTTCCTCGTTGAGAACAGAAAAGCAAAGCTCTGGTAATGGTGTGTTGATGTCCAGCATTGAAAAGTGTCGAGTTGGAAGGCCTACAACTGATTTTTATAGAGCTATCTGGTCTCTCTTAGGGCTTTTATAAGACTACTCAAGTTCTCTAATGCTTCATCAAGGACGAGGAGTAATGTCTACTACCTGCCTAGGTCTTGATGAGCTGATAGGTAGCTCTGGTCCCTGAGTGACCTCGTCCATTTGAAGATAGGTACTGCCAGAGGCCCCTTCAAACTACACTCCCCAGCGAGGACATAGTTGGCGGTGAATGACAACCAGTTGCACGTGCAAAGGCCTCTCACACGTGCACCCCAGGCTCGCTTGTTGTTTATATCTAGTCCTCTCGCACACACACTCTTCTTTTCCTTCCCATCCCTCTCGTCTCTACTATACCATCTCTCCATCCATCCATTGAAGTCTCCATCATTCCCAATCTTGCTCTATTCATCTTCATTTCGTCCTACGAACTATTGATTACTTCTACTTGCGCTTCTTGCGCCTTTTCTGCTACTTTTTCTACTTGACGCACTTGTGCATCATCTTTCCAATCCTACCTCTCAAGGTCTCTTACCACAACACACGACGCGTCTCCCACGGTCACTAAGGTGATATCAGTATCATCTATCTCTGTAAGTTGTCTGAGTCAATCCTGGTTCCTTGATGTGTGCTGTACACAACACTGGGTTCCTATGCATACCACAAGGTTTCTGAATGAAAGTGTGATGTGGCATTTGCTTGTCTATTGTTTACTATCATGATATTCTTCCTGCTATGATCTATGAATGATTATTTGGATGTATGAGGCGCGTCACTAATCAGTTTACTAAAAAAAGGTTCTCGCGTTCAAACCTATCGAACACCCTACACTGTACCTGAAGTGTTTGCCCTAACAACACTGAGCACTACAGGTATATGAAACGCGTCTGATTGAATCAAGCATGGGACTTACTAACATGGAAGTAAAGGGTCAAATAATTCATTTGAACACAATGGAGAACCACGCTCAGCGCTCGGCCAGTGATGACTCTTCGAGTTCCGGTCTCTCTTCCCAGGATGATGACCACGACCTCGCCCAACCCACTACCACCAATACTACTACCGACACTAGATCCTATTTGCCCTCTAATGTATCCCTTGAAATTCTCCAGGCGCACCTAGACGCTGACGGCTCTGACTCTTCCGATGCTTCTGGACCGCGGGTACACCCCGACTTCTTCGTCCATCTTGAAAATCTACGAAGGGTCAACGAAGCCAATCGAGTCAATGCACGTAGGGATGCTGAAGCCTGGTATGAAGCTGCGATGGGGCACCCGCCTCAGCATCAAGATCCTTTGATGTTCAACGGGTCCCAGCATGAAGCCCCTCAGATGCACGATCAGCCCCAGCATGATGCTCCTTTCATGTTCAACGAGTCCCAGCATCGATCTTCTCAGACGTACAGTCAGCCCCAGGATGGAACTCCTTTTATGTTCAACGGGTCCCAGCATGAAGCTTCTCAGACGTACAGTCAGCCCCAGGATGGAACTCCTTTTATGTTCAACGGGTCCCAGCATGAAGCCTCTCAGATGCACAATCAGCCTCGGCATGATACTCCTTCTATGTTCAACGGGCCCCAGCATCGATCTTCTCGGATGCACGATCAGCCTCAGCATGATGCTCCTTTCATGTTCAACGAGTCCCAGCATCGATCTTCTCAGACGTACAGTCAGCCTCAGCATGATGCTCCTTTCATGTTCAATGGATCTCAGCATCAAGCTTCTCAGACGTACAGCCAGCCCCAGGATGGAACTCCTTTTATGTTCAACGGGTCCCAGCATGAAGCCTCTCAGATGCACAATCAGCCTCGGCATGATACTCCTTCTATGTTCAACGGATCTCAGCATCAGGCTTCTCAGACTTACAGACAGCCCCGGAATGAAATTTCTTTCACGTTCAACGGGTCTCAGTATCAAGTTTCTCGGGCGTCCAACCAGCCCCAGAATGGAGCTTCTTCTTCAGTGCTTAACCAACCCCAGAACGGAAGTTTCCAATTTGCCAACGAAACAAACCAACCTTCGTACCACGCCGGTACCGGAAATGGATTGCAGCCATCGGCGATGGGCATGCGTGAGCGATATGAAACCCAAGATTCCACTGCAGCCGGGCCATCCGAGCCGTCGCTACATGTTCGTTTTGCGACACCTACTCACATTGGTCCTTCTCACCCTAGGGACAATCCTCATCAGCGTCGGCCTCCTTCTCCCTACCCTGTGGGGTTCCGTCGCCCATATGCTTCTGGTCCAAATTACATGTCAAATCCTCCCTTGCCACCGTATCCTTTGCCATCACCTCCTTTGCCAGCACCTCCTGTACCGGCACCTCCTGTGACAGCACCACTGCACCCGGATTATACCGAACACGGGAACCCTTACAGACTCGCATCTGAGCCAGAATTGCTTCCTGAGGATGCCATCACTCATGGTGAAGAACGCATTGTTCAATCATGGCTCATTCGGCAGCAGCTTATTGCCGGAATTCCTCCTCAGGAAATTCAGCCCATGGCACAAGCACGCGAAAGACAGCACCGAACCCCTCCTTACATCATGCTCAATGAGAGCGGTGCCCATATCATAAGAATTGAACCTGCCCGATTCGAGGGTGCCATGCTTCCTCTCACAGGTCTTCCTTGGCTGCCACAGCACGCAAATTCTAGCGCGCCTGCCTCATCGGATGCACCCGATGCTTCGGGTCTGCCCACTGGTCAAGAAATCGCGACTGGTTCAAGCTTATCTAGTACTCTGAACTCGCCGCTTGACCCAAACTTGTCGACTGCGCCAAACTCCCCGCGCGCCCCAGCTGCCGCCAACCCGCTGGCTGGCCTAAACTTGGCGACTGCACCAAACTCCCCGCGCGGCCTAGCTGCCGCCAACTCGCCGGTTGCTTCGCACCTTCCAGCTCCTGCAACCCCGCCAACTGTCCCAACTCTCCCGGTTAATTCACGCTTGGCTGCAACTCCAAACTCGCCAGTCACCCCGGACTTTCCGGCTAGTCGAAATGCACTAGCTACTACAACTCTGCTGGCTACTCTAACTCTGCGGCCTGACTCTACTGTTTCGGACCCAACTTCTGTGCCAGAACAAAGTTCGGCGGATCCAAATGAGCATGTCGCGGGAAGTCTGAACCCGGATCCGCGGATGGTGGCATTCTTCCAGCCTCTTAGGCTGCATGAACCGACCCATTCCGTCTTGGCTCCCGCCGATATGCGCGTAGAAGCACCAGGCACAACCCAGGTCGGCGCCAACGAGAACCGTCAAACTTCCGTGGCTACCCTGCAGTCGCCGTCGCAGGGCGGCATGCCCCTGACTGTGCAGAACTACACCGATGCTGACTCCATCGGTTCCCCGGGGGCTCCTGGGATGGTCGTGTCTCCCGCCCGCTCTCAGGGCCAAGGGTCCTCTACGGGGACCGACACCGACAACATGCCTTCCCCCGGGGCCCCCAGCTTGCGCTGGAGAACCGCGACGAGCCCCCCACTCGTCGTGTGCATCGGTTCGCAATCGATGGGGTGGATGAATCGGCCGAGGTGGGCCGATTCTCTGCGGAAGCAAAGGCTTCCGGTGATCAATCCTCCGGGGGAGGGTTGATCTAAATTTTCAACGTTTGTATGAGTGAGGCCTCTCTGAGGCGAATGGTGCTTACTTCGTGAGCACGAAGTGAACGGCGTGTGAGGGGGGTTGTCAATCTCTGAAAAATGAGATGGAGTATATGTAGAGTATTATTGAATAAACTTGTATGATTACAATTGTTTCCCATAGTAAAGCTACTACCAATGCACGTAGAAGCAATTTGTATGTCGTCGCTTGATCAATGTACCACGGCAGGTCACAGCTGCCTATACCAATAAGCCTGATACAGAAGATCAGACAAGTTTCCACGCGCGTCGCAGGCGTTTCCTTACCAATAGAGCGCTAGGCAGAAAATAATACTTTGCACTACTGTTACAGGGGCTAATCCCAAGTCCTGCAATAATAGTACTCTCCATCACATCGACCCTTATGCAGATGTGAACCGTCCTATACAGCTTACCTTGAAGGACTTTGACCCCCTCATACCGCTCCAGCTCGCCTGCCTCGACTTCTGTATCGAGCTCCTGAACCAAGATCGATGCGAGCGAATAGGAGTGCCCACTACTTACTGCTCTAGCTGTACAGGGCCTCGGACTGGGCCCAAATTGGGATTAGCCCCTGTAACAGTAGTGAAATCGCTGTGACAATAGTACTGACACAGATATTGTTGCGAAGTGCGGTCTATTTATGTACATATAGGGTCACGTGACCTACATGTGACCCCACGCCCAGTTCCGGCACAACTTCAACATGCCCATGACATCAACCTACCTCTTTGCCTTCTCGGTTCCTCGCTAAGCTGATTCGGCGTTGCGGGCATCCCTTTGTGCATACTCCGATAATATATTTTGTTGAAACTAATTCCCTAGTTTTTCTGGGGAATGTTCCTTTTTTCGGGTATGAATGGCCGGATGAGAATGGCCGGGGGTTTGTGTTCCAGCCCATCCCGCTCTATCTCGGGCTGACTTTTAGGCCACGCCCTTGAGTTCCCTGCAACCACATCCATATCATGAGATGTTGCTTTCTCTTAGATTACAAACTGTCGATTTTTGGTCCTGCAATTAATCTTGCTATTTAATATCGGAGGCGGGGTGGGCTGCGCGCAGGGCCTACCAACAGGCCGCACCTTTGGGGGCTTGCGCATTCTACTGCATTGTACTGAATTGGGGTGGAGGAACCATTGTTTTTAGGCTTTTTCTGCCTTGATCTTTCGTACATTGACCTCATTCGGTATGCTTCCCACATTGTCGCCGGCATTCTGTTTGGTCAACCGACTTGGAGACCTGGACATCACCAACATGAATTCGCACCCTTGTGTGGCAGGACCATGAAGATGCAGGGCTTGCAAATGTTGGCTTGAAACAACATGGCGAACAGATTTCCGCCCGTGTTCCATCTCTGTTCCGGTGGTATTTGTCCCCTGATAGTCAACCACAAGTCTATCTGTTGTAAATCACGACAAAGCTTCATTCCAACGCGCACTTTTTTCCTGGTTCATGATGACCCGGACTTCGACAACTGACCAATCTACACCTTACAAGACATCGAAGAACTGACTGGCTGGGTGTCATACAGAGCATCAAAGATGTTTGCGACAAAGAATCACAGCGTGTCAATTCGGTCCTTGAAATTGACAACAGCTCTATGGTCTTGGGAAAGAATGATAAGAGACTCCAGCCATTTATTTGATGGTGTGACCTGATAATCCAACGGGGATTGTCCTGGTGCCCCGGGAATGTTGGCCCATCTGGCCTTGTGCAATACGTAGATAGTTTCATTCGTGGGACAAGCCAACGCAGTCTCAGTTTGGCTTTGTCGAAAACAGGCTGCTGTACAAAAGGGCATGGCGAGCACAAAGCAGACAATATGCTAGCAAGCCTGGCTAGCATGTCTGTTTTATCCGACACCTGGGCACCACCTGATCAGATCATCACGTGCTGAGCAGACACAGACTGGACACATTCGGTATCCAAAAAGAAACTCGGAGAGAGCAAAGGAGAAGTACACGTTGCACTTATCTTCGACAACGGCACGCCATCCCCCAGCATCCAAGCGTCGAATCAAGTTGTAGAGCCGCAACACTGATCAGTCATCAATCCCGAGGTCCATGGGTTTCTGACCTTGAAAAGCCCACCCTCCACGGCCAAGTAGTGTTATTTCTTTACCTGAGAGGTTGAGACAGGTGTATATGATAAATCTGAACTGGTGCGTATGCCCCATTCAACCCTCCCCTTGCTTATGTTCTCGTTGTTCACCAGCGCTTGATAGTGTACACAGTTCGGATCTGGAAGAACTGTCGTTCCGAGTCCCCCAAACCCGAAAGACTTCCGCCTGCGATCGCAGACACGCTCGAACGCCATCGCTCGCTGCGCTTTCTCATCATTATCTCTACTTCAACGCCTCTTCCAACCACTGGCCGTGCTCACATTATCTATTTCGCCCTGATTGAACCAGATGCCGTTTGCGACGTCTACATGGCTGGGTCCCGTACGAGTCCGGTGTTAAGAGACCAGTGGAGCGCTGACCCAGACCGTGATCCCCGCGACATGGATAGACGGAGGGGTCGAGGGTCAGGCCGCGATCGAGGGAGAAACAGAGGTCGTGACCGAGGCCGCCCATATCGGCCCAATAACCGCAATTTCGATCGCCTGGGGCGGTCGCCACCACGCGCGTCCCGCTTTGGCCCTGACTCTTCTCACGACATGGGTGATTTCGCTCCAGATCGATCTCCTCCTCGAGGTTCTCCTCCACCTCGTAATTTTCACAACAACCGTCGACTAGATCCAACCCAACCAGTGACACCAGCCGGTGACTGGAATGCCCATACTTCTGGACCTTTCGACAGAGAAGACCCCGGTCTTCGAAGAGACGAGTCAGCAACCGGACCTCCACAGAAACGGCAAAGGACCCGAAGCCCATCACCGCGTGGCGGTCGTGGCCCTCTCCCTCCACCGCGTCCAAATTACTCCGATAATTGGGATATCCGGGATCGAAGCCCCTCATTCAAGAAACGAGGTGGCCGCAACCAAGGTCGTGGTGCTCCAAGGAGAAGATCACCACGCCGGGGCCGGGACCGTCGTGGAAAAGACCGTCGCCGTCCAGACATCCCACGCCCAGGAAGGTCTAGATCACCGGTTCATGAACGAGGGTTCCATCCTTCGCTTGATCGACGGTCTCGCACCCCTGGTGGTGACAATCACAGCGACCACGGATCTCACTATCGGTCGAACTCACGGCACTCAGTACGGTCTGCAACCTCGAGATACTCTGAATCTTCTCGCAGGTCGAGGCGTAACTCGGCGATGAACACAAACCGACCGACCCAATCTGTTGTGGACGATACTGCTCGGCCTGCATCTCCACCGCGCCCGATTCCAAGTTTTGACTCTGATAACCTCGGTCATCTCGGAGAACACCGAGATGAGTTGCCAATACATGCGATGCGCTCTGATGGGAATAATCAGTCTCGCCATCGGCCGTCTCGACCACATCTTGATAGCCGGCCCTATGCAGACGCTCAAAACGGAACAACAGGCTCGTACCCCGGTTCGCCTCAACCACCTTCACCTTACTCCTCAGGAAGAGGAGGATGGTCGGGCCCGCCTCCGTGAGTTTTTGGAATCGCTTTCACTTCCATGTTACATTCTGAATTATACTAATCCTCTCTTCAAGTCATGCCTCCCCTTACAGGAACGATGACTATTCATCGCAAAATGGAAACTATTATCACAACCAAGGTCAATTTAACGGCCCTGGCAATAATCGCCCGCAATCTCCCTATGGCGGGCCTCCCCACCGAGGTGGCCACTCTGGTGGCGGTCATCGAGGAAACTTTTCAAACCAGGGTCCCGATCGGCGATTTTCTGGCTCTGGCCCTCATCCATATCATAATGGACCCTCACAACGCGGCGCGAGAAGTCATTTCAACAACTTACAATGGACTGCTTCGGGATCACGAGGCCGTGGGGGACAACATAGTCCTCACCCGGCGCACATGGATGGGTCACAAACTCCCAGTCGACCGCAGTCTCACAATGAACCGCAATCACCCCGAGCCGGCGAAAGTGAACATCATTCCCGGCCCCCCACTAGGGATGAAGAGATGAACCAGGCACAACCTCAATCCGCCGGCGGGAATCCCCCATCCATGCCACCCCAAACTCACGAATCCAACGAAACAACGCCGGCAAACAAGGGCGGCAAATTTAGCTTTGCTTTCAAGTCAAAGGCTGCACCTTCTCCCGCCCCAAAGCCAGTACCTGACCTTGCCCAGAGGATGTTGCAGGTCCGCGAACCGGCCCCTCGTGCACCGGAACCACCCCAACAACCTCGCAATCGATTCACCAATGAGCCATTGCCCAGATTTAAACCAGATCCAAGGGCTGATCGCCGTGACCGAGATCGTGGACGAAATCGGGATCGAGACCGCAGAGATTTCCGAGAGCCACGAGAATTCCGTGATCCACGGGACCGCAGAGATGATCGCCGGTTCGATCAACGTCGTGATCGGCGGCAAGGCGAACGGCCACCGGACAGGCCCTCAGACTGGCCAGATCGTCGCCGTGACCCTTCTCCGGAACCGCCAAGAGAACCATCACCACCCAAGCAGAAGCGGATTCTTACCCGTCCTAAACCACGTCCCACAATTCCCGCTGAGTTCGCTAATGCCGAATCTGTGTACTACCGAAAGCCAGGAAATGAGTCTGTGATCGGCGCTGGGACATATGGAAAAGTGTTCAAAGGAATCCACGTCTATACCCAACGTAAAGTTGCACTGAAGAAGATCCGAATGGAAGGTGAGAAGGATGGCTTCCCTGTCACGGCTGTCAGAGAGATCAAGCTGCTTCAGCATCTTCGAAACCATAATGTCGTCAGCCTCCTGGAGGTCATGGTTGAGAAAAACGAATGTTTCATGGTCTTTGAATACCTCTCTCACGATTTGACCGGTCTGATCAATCATCCCACTTTCTCTCTAACTCTGTCACATAAGAAGGATCTGGCGAAGCAAATGTTCGAAG